ACTTTAAATAGCTTATTCTCATTGCTATACAATTTATCTTGATATAAATTTAAAATATAATTAAAATTATTTATAACTATTATTTGGGCCTTTTTAAATGAATTAATATATCTTTTTATGATTTTTTTTTTAGATTACTCTTCTTTCTTCTTTGTTATTTGGAGACAAATATACTATTACTACTATTATCTTAAGCTGCTTAAATATTCTTTTCTTCTTTTAATTTGTCTCAGATGTTTTTTCTATTGATTACTTATAAATAGACTTATTCTTAAGCCTTTTTTCTTGTTTAAATTTGTATTCAACTAGAAGCTTCTGTAGTTTTCAAAGTTTGATGTTGTAAGAACACCTTTTTTACTAGAAATATTGATTTTTGCTATTTTTAAAATGTTTATATTATTATCTGATATCTATTTATATAATGCTTTTAGCTTCTGTTTGTTATTTTGCAGTTTATTTATATTGTGGCAGGCAATTTTCAATTTTGTTTTACTATTATTATTTTTAAAAATTATTTTTGCTCTTTATAATTGTTTTTAGAGTATATTTATTCCTCACCCTGGGTGAGATTTGATATTGCTTACCTCTCTATAACAAAATTGCCAATATCTCAAAATTTTACTAAGGTAACCCCTGTCATATAACATAAGCAAAAATGTTTCTCTCACAATTTTACCTTAGGCTAACCTTAACTCTAACCTTAATTTTAATCCTAATATATTAATATGACTGGGGTTACCTTTTGTACTTAAGGGAAGTAAGTAACTCACCTGGGTGTTGAATAAATTATTTCTTGTTTTTATTATTTTTTATTTGTTTATATCTATTTTTACCCTTTTCTTTATTAATTATCTGATAGTCTTTAGAGGTGTTTTGTATAAAATTTGAACTTAGCTATATTGCTTTGCAATAGAAAAAGGTTTGTTTACCTTTAACATTATTTTTTTTGAATTAACTAAAGCATTTTTCAGAAGTGATTAGCAGACAGAGTTTGCTATTTGTTCAGATTATCAAGTACAGTCAGACCTCTCTAAATGCATGTCGTCAGAACCAGCTCTAGCACGTGCATTTAGAGAGATGTTGCATTTAGGGAGGTAAAAATCTATATATGTAATATTAGTTGGGCTCAAAAGAAGACGTGTATTTAGAGAGGTGTTGCATTTAGAGGAGGTGCATTTAGGAGGGTTTGACTGTATGTTTAAAATTTCTTGTAGCATAATCTGATACTAGTTATTCTGCTTGTTAAAATCTACTTCTTTCTCTTTTTTCTTTTGTTTGCAAGCTAAAACTTTTAATAAATTATTTTTCTAGTTTCTTGTTGATCTAAAATAATTTTTCTGCTTGCTTTTCCTCTTCTTTTTCTTTTTTCTTCAAATAGAATTTGGCCACTATATTTAATATAATAATTTACCAAACATAATAATGATTTAGACCTCTGGTTACTTTATGATCATTTATATTAAAGCCATATTCTATTTATATACATTGGTATCTGATTCTATATTTGCATATATATGTATATATAATATGCATATATATATAATTATTCTTTTTTTGATAATTGCTTGTTTATATATAGTATAAATAAAAAAATATATCAGGTTACTCAGATAAAATCTGTGTAAATTAAAAAATAATCAATTTCAATTAAGTGAGATCTCTCAGAAAAACTTTGATTTAAATATAGTGCAATTTTAAATAAACAGGCTGCTGTCAATAGGAATCAGGCAGATTATCTGCTAATTCCTATTGATAGCTATCTAAATGTCTTTATAGCAGTTGCAGAAGGTGTGATACATAATGATGGTAGCAGAGAATAAGATTCTAAATTACTATTTTCAATTAATAACGATTAAATTTATTAAAATCTTTAAATTGTTTCTATATTATTTTACTAACAATCACTTCATAGATACCACATTTTACTAACAATTATTCATTAACAAGTTCATTTTACTAACAGTCTATTTCACCAAAATTCATTTCACTAACAAGCTAATTTTAACCTAACCCTAATGATATTGACTAAAATTACTTTGTCTATAAAATGAGCTTCAGTAAAATAAACTGTCAATGAAATGAACTTATTGGTAAATAATTGTTAGTAAAATGTGGTGTCTACGAAATGATTGTTTGTAAGTTGATCGGATCCCATAGTGGTTCAATATGTAATAATGTAAGTTTTTAAAAAAAATTTTCAAGACCTTATTGAGCAGACTAAATTCTTAAAACAGCTTATAGATACTTTATGGGATTTATATTTAACACACAGCGCAGAATATATTTATACAAACTTTCACTATGTCAATACTTTGAGGATAGAGATATAATATTAAAAATGTTGAGATCTGATTAACTCACTAACAATCACTTCATAGATACATTTTACTGACAATTATTTACTGGCAAGTTCATTCACTGATAGTTTATTTCACTGAAACTCATTTTATAGACAAAGTAATTCTGGTTAATATTATTAGAGTTAGGTTAGAATTAGCTTGTTAGTGAAATAAATTTTGGTGAAATAGACTGTTGGCAAAATGAACTTGTCGATAAATAATTGTGGGGGCTGATGCTGAAATCGGCTGATATTGAAAATTGGGAGCTCTTTTTAAATCTATAAAATCTACTAAAATTCATATATACTTTTTTATTAATAAATACTACTACCTAACCCTAACCTAACTATGAAAAAAAAGACCACAAAAAAGACTCTAAAAAATTTTACAATTTAATAATAAACTATGAAAAATTTTCAGTATCAGCTGATTTCAACATCAGCCTTCACAATAATTGTCAGTGAAATGTAGTATCTATGAAGTGATTGTTGGTGAAATAATACAAAATCAAATACTATTGAGTATTCATTTGTTCTTGTGTTTTAGATCATTCCATATATCTTGCTTACTACCCAAAATTTACATTTATGCAACTTGATAATTTTATTGTTTAATTAATAAATACATATGCATCAAATAAGAAATTGATTTAATGATTCACGTGTTAAATTTAAAATTTTAAAACCAATTAATAATTAAATAATTGAAATAAATAATTAAATAAATAAGATTTTTACAATATGCATTATAATTGCAATTTATTTATTATTGTTATATGGCTATTACAATTCAATATTTTCAGAAATTCTTCAATGCGATTTATATTTTTACTGCAAATTCAGCAACAGAAGGGGTTAAACCTTTTCTATACGCATCTATATACCTCCATGCTTTCCTTGTAAACTTTCTAATCGTTATAATGTTAACGGAATCAAAAGCCTCTGATATAGTTTTTATTAATCTTCGAAAAGTATAATCACAGTGACTTCTTGTATATCTTTTTATCACCACCCAATAATATTCAATATAGTTCAATTTCAGATGAAATTTAGAATAAAAAAAATTTTATGACCTCATTCGAGCATAATTTCCTCAAGAGTACTTTTCTGTTCCATGAAGTCAGACTGTCTCAACAATTTTTTTATGTTGCAACATATTTTCTCATCATCTTTTGAGTATTTAACACATTTGCCTCTTAATTACTCATTCCATATTCTTCTTTCTATCATTACTTCCTTAATTCTCTTTGGTTGTTCTTTTTTTTTTGTCTTAGTAATTTAATAGAAAGACCATCTCTTGAAGTGTATCATCAGAAAATTGACCAGAACGTAGTTTCGGTTATTTATCATCATAGCCAACATTCATCTTTCTTGCTATTAATACATCTTAGCAAAAACTTCATGGTTGGTACTGTTATCGAATCCAAAAACAAATATCATATTTGAAAGTGCAATTTTCAAAATATCAATTGTTAATTTAAGTTGCTTAGCTAGTAATTCAATATTCTAATAACATTCATAGTTTACGCCAATTTCTAATAACTCTGTAATATAATGTTTTGAAATTTCAGGATAGGCTATATGTTGTTCTTTAGTTAGATGAACTTGACCTAGTGGTTCACATAAAAATTCACTAACATGAATGCCTCTACCTTGTCCTTTTGGATGCAGTTTGTATTCACCTATTAATAATTAAAGTGGTGTAAGCTTAGTTAGCTAGCAAATAAAAAATAAATTCAATCTTTAATGATCTCTAATATATATAGCTTTAGTCCCCAACCCGTTTTCTTATCATCATTTGTAGACAATATTGTCTCATTATATATTATTATACAATATCGCTTTTCTCTAAGAAAAATATCCTTCTCTAATAGTATAGTAAGATCTTTGTCACAATATTCAAGAAGAATGGGTTCCAATTCTTTCATCATCGGCAAAAAAACTGTTTGCCTATATTGCACTACATCCTCTTACTCATGTTCATCTATATAGATATCCTTTTTCCATTCATTACATTACCATCCTAGTTTTCTAAGCCATATCCAAGCTGTTTTTTCACATATAGTTGTCTTTGTTTCAATACCTAAAGACAGAAATATTTCATTCTCAACATAGTTTTTTAAAACTTTAGGATTTAAACTAAACTTGTGACTTCTTAGCAGTGTTTATTTTTCATATGCGCAAAAGTGTGTGCATGTGTGCAGATCTAATCAAACTACTTTATTTAAAATTTTGATTGGATCTCACATATGTGCATATTTTTGTATACGTGAAAAATCAACACTGCTTCTTAGATATGACATTATCTGTTTAAAGTAAGATAATTGTGAATTACACCAAAAAATTAAAAATTATAGCCAAAATCGTTAAAAAAAAAAAGTATACCTTCATAGATATTCTTTCATTATCAAGAAGGCTTGATATCTTCGTGAATTTATCACGATTATCTTTTAGAAGTTTTTGTCACTTTATCTAATTTTGAGCCCATATACTAATACATCATACTTTATAATTAGCCTATTCTAATGAACTAGCAATCATTGTGCTTGCACTTATTCTAGTCTGATCCTGGTATCTTAACTGTAAATATTGCAATGACGCTTGCAAACGAACTCTTATACCTTTATCTATTTGATTATCATCCTTTTTTAATATCCTATCTAACTCCTCAATTGCCAACCTCATTTTTATTCCTCATCAATATCTATTTCTGCTGAGTTGCACAAAAAGGATACAAAACTGATAAGGTGGCGTAAACTCATAATAAGTCTTCGGATTGTATTAATTTGATAAATAGCGCTATGAGAAGCCTGCTTAGCAAGACCCAAATAGAGAGGTAGTACAAGCTTTTGATGATGCTTACTGGAATAGACTCCATCTGAGGCTGAAAAACTGAATAAAGCAAGAGTACTGACAAGTTACTTTACCAACCAGGCCACCAAGTCAACTGAGGAAAAGACTAATATCCTTTCTAGGCCATCTGGATTAGTAGTCTGAGGAGACTGGCTAGGGAGTACTGAAAGGGAAGATACTGGGTTGTCTTGAAGGAAGGGTACCAGAGCTTGAGTGAACTTTGCAAGGGCCAGGTAGTTAGGTGATATAGCCTGCCTATAAAGGTTTAGAATCTATCCGGCTACCTATCTGCAGTAGAAATTGGCAGTATGGCCTGCTTGTAAAAGGTATAGAACCTATCTGGTAATATCTATCTGAAAAAAACTAGGTCATATGTTAAAAGTAGGTGACAGACAGCTCTAGCAGATGATGCACTCGAGGATGAATTAGTTAAATACTGGTAGTTCTATAGGTAAACATATAACAATCTCAGAACTTGAACTGATTAATGTACCACATATTCTAGATGAGGTTAGATAGATTGGTATAGAAAACTCAGATCAGAGGGTTTAATTGGATAGCTCAAATAATAATAGATTACAGGTACGATATCTAATGTAGAACCTAATAATAGATAGATACTTAATTAGGCACTCAAAAGGTGCAGATATGGCTAGAATGTACTCTTATCAGAATGTACCTGTCTGAGGCTTCCTTGAAAAGAGTATCATATGATTCTAGTATCTAATAAAAGCAGTGAGCCAAAAAGGCTAACCTTAACTACAAAAAAAAAAGAAAATTGTAAAATTTTTTAAACTTAATTATTTCAAAAAGTACTGTATAGAATTTTATATTTTTTTTTATTTAAAAGCTTCAGATTTAAATAATATTTTATATAATTTTTAGCTCTATATCTTGTTTATTTAGTTCAATATAAATTTTCAAAAAGTGTTTACAATAATATAATATCCTCTGCATATTATAATCTTATAATAATTTTATATACTCACCTATACTAAAAAAGATTCCTCCTTATTACTTATAACAACTACTTACTTAATCTTCATCCTCTAAATCAACTACAGTGGGGTACCATATTATTATGGACACTTTTTGAAAATTTATATTGAGATAAATAAGCAAGATATCAAGTCCAAAATTATATAAAAAATTGCCTAAATCTAAGGCTTTAAAATAAAAAAAAATTCA